ATCCAGGTACTGACCAGGCTCACACCTGCTTAGCTTCAGTTGGGTGCCAGTTGTGAGTTGCAGGGTGATATGGCTGCTGGAGATCATCCTAGCCTTTCTCTTTTGCGTTTTCTTTCTATACTGACTACTGGATATCCAACCCTGCACTGCCTCTGACCACGACTCTTTCTCTGCCTCGCGTCTTTCGGATTTGGATACCTTTCTGCCTGGACCTCTGGATACCCGACCTCGCTCTGACTCTGACCTCGAACCTTGCCTTTAGCTCCCTGGAATTCTGACTCGTTCCCTCTCCGCACCGCATAGGGTCCGATCGCCTTCACCACTAGTCCGTACTGATTAGTGTGACACTGCTTCTCCAATTGAATTTAGGGGGCAAGCAGGTGAGATTTTACCCTACAGACATTGGTTTGAAAATTCTTGTCCAGAGGGAAATTACCTTGGAGGTCTACTAATCCATTATAGACCAGGACTTGCTGAGCTCTTGAGATCAGGCTGCAAAGAGGTAATGATGCTGCCAAAATACTACTTATACATATAATAGTACATATAATAGTAGTAATAGTACAACAAGTAAGAAAGTACACATAAGTCCATGGCCGAAATGTTGTGTTCTCTTTCTTCTTTTTTTCAGCATGGAATAAACCTATTACTTGTTCACATATATAATGGGACACTTTAATAAATATGAGACTTTTAGGACAAGACAAGTGAAGTTGAAAGCTTAGAGATTCTCTCAACAAATATTGTTCAGAATAAAAAAGTTACAGTGGGTATAGAGAATCACCACCCCCCTTTAAAATGTTCACCTTTGTTACCCTAAATAACTTGACTTTTACGAGGTATATTTACAAATTGTACCTTGCAACATCCAAGTGCGAAAAGAAAGCACAATTTCTGAAAAAAAAAAATAAAAAGGTAGAATACCTGGGTTGGATAAGAGAACACCCCCATGAGTTCATACTTGGTGGAAGCACGTTTAGCTTGAATTAAAGCCTTGAGTCTGTTTGGATACATCTCTACCAACTTTGCACACATACTGTAGAGAGTCAAACTGCTTGGTGTCCGTTGATGGACTGCCCTCTTAAAGTCATTCCTAAGATTTTTTTTTATGGGATTTAGGTCAGGGCTCTGACTAGACCACTCAAGGACATTCACCTTTCTGTCCTTCAGCCACTGTGTGGTTGCTTTGACAGTGTGCTTTGGGTCATTGTCATGTTGAAAGGTGAACCATCTTCCCATTTTCAACTTGGTGACTTGCTATACCCACTGTATATACATATAAAGGTTAGCTGCTGTTTAAAAGTTCAACTTTGTTAAATTAAAACTTTCTTAATGACTCACTGGTTTCTAACATAGCAGATCCTTTAAGTTATCCAGACAGTTTTCTATGCAACAGGATTAATTACAGAATATGGAGGAGATCATATCAAAGGCCATTTGTTTGTGACAAAGACACTTCTAGGTGTCATATTTAGAAAATGTACTGGTGCTATAAAAATTAAGGTCACCCTTTGGTAATATTTAATCATAAATGTCATTTAATGATCAATGCCAGGTAAATTCCCTGTTTTAAAGCTTTCATCTAAAGCTGCAATATCCTTTACAAACTCCCATGTTCACATTGAACAAATTTCTGAAAGAAAGTATCTCACCCTTTCTGAAGTACTAATTTTCAACCAAATAAGAGCTATCCTTTAAAGGAATTGCATTTAAGCTTTATTTTTTAATATATATATTCTAAAATATAAAATATTTTTTTATTTTACTGGTCAGTTAAAAACAGCTACAAAACAAAAATGTAAATTAATATAAATCATAATCTGTGCAAATTTAATCTGAAATTAGGGATAAAATATAAGGATTGTTTGTTTAGTATGGTCAATTTTATTGTAGTTATTTTGAAGTACCAGATTCTTTTGCATATTATATTCACCATAACATCTACCTGCCATCGGTTTGTTCCCTATCTGATGTTTGCATGTTTGCATAAAAGCAAAAATACTTTGCAAGAAAATGTATATGTCTACGATATGAGACGCAACCCATGAATAACGTAGAACCAGATATAAAGAAGTTCTAACATTACATTTATTGTTTACATATCTTGCTTGCAAAGTCTTTTGCGTGTTTCACACACTGTGAAAGCAGAAAACAGCACAAGTGCCGCCAAAAGAAGATGGATGCCAAGCGGATAAATTTAAATAAACATGTTTGTTTAAATGAGAAGGTTTTTTTTCTAAAAAAATAAAAGCATGAACAATAACTTTTGGATTCTCCTAAGCACTAGGTTGGGGGCGCCTTGTTCACACAATGAGGCCGTGTGGACGAATCCCGCCTACTCCACTGCACGATATAGCAAAGGCGTTGCGCTCCGGGAAGGCGCCGGCCAATGAGTTTAAAGCGGGGCGGAGCGGGCTTGTTGTGAATGGAAGTTGGTTGTTCGCTGCCTGGCGGTGAGGTGTCTGGTCGGGAGGAAGGCAGCTTATGTTTACGCCTATAACGTTTGTACTGTACTGCAAGTCGGATTTTGTTAATAACGGCGTTCAGATGTTGGTGGTACAATCGTAGGTATATAGACAGCTATTTTATTGCTCTGCATTGATCACAAGGAAAGATGCTTAGTTCGAGCTCTGGTGAATGCAAATGGATAGAAGTTAGGAGTTGAGAAACTTTGCGATAGCTAAAGTGAATTAGCAAAAAAATAGATGCTGCCGGGATATTTTAAGTCACAATTATATACAGTAGTACTTCAATGACCCGGTTCCCAATCTTTAAACATAAAAAAAGACTGAAGCGAGTTGCAGCACTATTTAAATACAGACAGGAGCTAAAGTCTTGATGCAGCAGGTTCGCTTAGCTCTGTGCAGATGTAGACGAGTGCGTTGTTTTGAAATTCATTTTGTTGTGTTTATCTTTTCTTATAGGATTGTTTTCTCACCTGAGAAGCTACTCTTTCTCGTTTTGGAAAACAGGAGACTTGGGGTGTTTATTACAACGCGAACGTGAATTGATTGTAAGAAATAAGTCCTCTGTCTTTGTTAACCTGTTGTTGGTATTGCCGCTAGCAGACTTGAAGCTTTTGTGGACCGGTGTTGTTGGAACTGTTTTCGGTTAACACGATTCCTAACAAAAAATGCGGATATTTAATTGATAAATTGTCTGATAACTGAAAAACAGAAATAAAACTGCATTGTTGCAAACTGAAAGCTCAAATTGTTTAAAATGGTACAGAAAATGCACTGCAGGCAGCCGTGTGAGTCATTTGCTGATCAATAAGAAGAGAATTGAAGAATCGAAAGACCTGATATGGATACAGTTTAAGTGTTTTATTGTCAGTGGTGGATGCTGGTTGTACTTCAAAATGATTTGGTAGACGGACAGCCCACGGAGAAATCAAATCAATCAAGGATTTATGTGAGATATCATTTAAGCGGATAAGTAAATATCCCACACTGACAAATGTATTAACAATCGCGTTCTGTGCGGGACCACTTGCAAATGAAAATGAGACATCGCAGAGAAGTGAAAGCCAATGTTTCTGCTGTGGAAGAGGAGCAACATGTTAGAAGTGAGTTGTACCAGAATACTGGGGCTTCGCTCAACACAATAGTGCTGGAGGACGAAATTAATAAACAGGCGCCAATAATGGCTAACATTTCAAATAAAAGGAAGATGCACTCGGTTAATGAGCACGAACTGTGTGGGAACTCCGATAGATCCAGGTGCCGCGGGGAAGCACTTGTCAGCGAGTTGGTGGATCGCTCAGTATGCAGAGAAAAAAGGGTTCCTACGGTGCAGTTTAAAGAGGTGTACAGCAGGCGTGAATTTAAGGTCGTTAAAAACGTGCCCCACGTGTTTGAGAAAAGCAGAATCACCGGCACCATCGAGGGAGTCTTCGGGGGCAACCTTTATACAGAAAGCGATCGTGCTGATCTTACTAGCGGGAAAAGCCGCGATGCCAAAGGACACCCGGACGTGGATTGCAATGCAATTTTTTACCAAAGAACTGGGGAAATAAAGCGACTTGCCAATATGCAATCTGGTAGAAAAGAAATAACCCGCAATAATGCAGGTGGCAAAACAACCACCCAAGAGATTGCTAGAGGCAGCCCTACCCGTCGTTATACCAAGAAGGGAAGAGGAAAGTTTGCATTAAGTCTGTGGAGTTGGTGGGCTTTCTTCTGTTTTAATACTCGCGTGTTGAAAACTCTGGCACAAGGTAAGAAAAACGTTCTTAGTGTCTTAAAAGTGTTTTTTATTTATTTAATGTTTTTAGCATGGATGTCTGGGTAGCGTAGAATTAAACGCTGCTGCCTCACGACTCTGTGTTCTGTGTCTGATACTGGGGCGTCTTCTGTGTGGAGTTCGAATGTACATCTTTTCTCGTATATTCATCAGTTTTCTGCAAGTGCGACGGTTACTTCCCTGCACTCCGACGTGGGATTCCCGGACTGTACTAAAGGCACCCCAGCTACTGTAGGTTAATATGAGTCTGTGAATTGTACTTGTGTGCCCGCGCTGACCCGGTGTCTAGTCCAGGGTGTAGCCCTGCCATGAGTCCCCTATGCTTCTGGGATAGGCTCTTCTTCGCGGCGCTCCTTACCAAGTATAAGCAGCTTTCCTGATGGATTGTAAATAAACACATCTACTTCCTTTAAACATAAAGCTGTTTTATACCCACGTGTATATTTAGTAATACTTCTCTAAAATTAAAAATGTATAATTCTTACTAGGGCAAGATTCATTTTAGACTTTAAAGATTATGCCTGCAGCGAAGATGTACTACGTTTAAGTTCACCCGTATTTGCTGATCTACTTTTGTTTTTAAGAGGTAGTTTATGCGAGTATATATATATAAATATTAGTTCATATATGGGCATTCGCCTGATATCGCAGCTGCGATAAGTTGGGAGTCCGATTACCTTCTGTGGAAACGGCACTTGTTCCACTTTCGCTTTTTTGTGGAATTCCGACTCTTGATTTAAAATGTATTTTGCTGGTATGAAGGAAACGGTAAAGGAGCGTTTCTCATACAATGTTCCGATTGGGAACCTGATTCTAGATAGTCACCCCAGACCTTCAGACAAAAGATGGCTTGATAGCTACTGCTACTGACTGTACGAAAGAAATTCAGTCGGATTCAGTGTGACTAGACGTCGTTTCCAGAACAAAGTCTTTGGATTGATGTTGTCGGAGATAGAGACAATAAAATATGATGCAGAGGCTTTTGTTAATCGGCTGAGTGATAATACTGTACTTAAGAGTATGTGATCTGTAGATTACAAGGTTTCTACAAAATAAAAACCGATCTCTCTGCGTACTGATCAGTATGGGGGATTTGACTGTCTTGTAAACTATTATTTTTATCATAAATATTTCATACGTACTGTATAAAGGAGACTGTAACGGTTGATAAATGGAAGATTGAGAAATAACTATTCCAGTGATGGTGTTTCAAGCCATAGTTTATAGTTATTAAGATAATTTAAGAAGTCAATCCTTATGTCCGAAGGGACAACATAAATGTTAGCTACATATTCAGTTTTCTGTATATTAAGTGAAAAAACGGAAGCGAAGTATTAGTTTTCTTTAAATATTTATATTTCAGGTCTTTTCTACTGCATTAACTGATTTGAGTACAGCTGTGACATGCCTGTGTCAGGATTGTGTCCATTAAGAGTGAATGGCCCCTGATTGAGTATCCTGTGGTAGATTGGATCTAGCTGCGTGATCTGGACCAGGATGACGGCAACAGAAGACGTGACAATATAATTATAGTCTTGGGGTATCTGAATTTTAACAGGTCATTGAAGTGTTTATTCATTTTCTCGCCTTGCCTCTCCTTTTACAGGTACCTCAGATTTCATGTCGGGGTCTTTGAGTTAAAATCGAAAAGAAGTGAGCTTTTTTTAGTCAAGCGTTATTTTTTTTTCTTTTACTGTACATTTTCAGTTAAGCATAAGAATCGCCATGCTCGTTAAAAAAACTCACTGAATAAACCCATGAGATAAATATTTTCTCGACTAGTGATGCCATATCACCTAATCTTTATGCAGCGATGTCTGATGTATGACCTGTCGTTGTGATCTATGCACACGAACGCAATACCTTTTTTAAAAAAAAAATCCTGGCCAGTAGAAAGCTCCCCAAGAACGTTTTCCCACTTATTAACAATATTAATCAATTTTAACTTAAAAATACCACAATGCAATGACATGCTATTGCGATTCTTGTAAATGTTGAAATGAAAAAACAGGATGTCTGTGGTAGAGGTTGCTTGTGAAATGTGAAGTTGCTTTAAAGATAGCATTAAGTTGGTTTGTTTGAAAATCTATTTCATGGTAAATCGACAGAATCCTTAGGTCTCATAACCTAGGAGATAACTTTTGCCTTATATGAAATATTTTGTGTTTTAAACAGGGCCTATAGGTTTTATTAAATAAAGCAACCAGGCTTTATCAATCTCAAGATTTATCACTTTCCCTTTTAAGCAGTTACAGGCTCTGAAGCCAAGTATGGGTGAACCTAATGAATTTACTGTAGCTGAGATCTCAAAATGATGTCAGGGCAGACTGCCCAGTATTCCAACGCACGAAGCTCGTTTTGCTTAGATTTGTCCTTCCTTCCCTTTTTGGCTCTGCAGTCTCAGGGTACTGGCACACTAATTGTTATTTTAACACCATAATAGGGAATCTCTTTCTGTTACAGAAGCACATTTAAAATGAAGCCAACTGACCAGGATACAGTACATGTTCATGTATTATATTTGATATTAATTTAGTTCTTTTTAATTTGTCCCAAAGAAGAGTAGATTCATATTTTCAAAACAGTAATTGTAGTATGTTAAATGTGCAATTAGAATAATAATTATAATTATTGCTTAAACTTATATAGCGCTTTTCTGGACACTCCAGTCAAAGCGCTTTACAAGTAATGGGGACTCCCCTCCACCACCACCAATGTGCAGCATCCACCTGAATATCAAGATTTTGCGAAACGCTGTACCTGTGCAGATTTTAGATCTTCATTTTAAGCGCAGAATAACTGAATTGATTTCTGCAGTCCAAAGTTCACAAAAGCCCAAAGTTACTGATTAACCACAAAGTAGCAGCAAGGTTTATCTTCAGCAAGGCTTATAATTATTTTTGGCCTAGCCTTTTTAAGCAAAAAAGAAAGTATTTTCAAACAAAGCTAACAGTCAGCCTCTGCTGAATACTTCTGTTCCTCTTTTTATTTGAAAGTGCAGAAAAGGCATTAGTATAGTATAGTGTGCCTTTGCTGAAGAATACCAACAAAATAATTAGATACGATTTCAGTTCTCCATTCTGTTTTTACTCACTCTTTCCTTAATGTTGATTCTCATGTAGTGTCAGCTGCTTTGCTGTCTAATGTCAAGGTCTTAGAAAATTTGGAATTCAACCAGCAAAAATCTGGGAAGAGTGTAGGTAATATCGATCAGACTTAGGATGCCAAGACCATTATTGAACCTCATGAATTGGGCAGAAGCTGACATTTAACCTCCAGTTTTACTTTTATGTATGTTTTTAAAAAAGTGTTTTATGGATAACTAAGCCTTAATTTTCACTTGGTGAAGAGGGCATCAGTGTCATTAAAGGCTTACAATAGATGGCCATTTAGGCTACTTTTTATTAATTGTCAGAGTAAGATAGGATGTTCTGTTAAGCGAGAGTGAATTAGGGGTGAAAGACAGTGTTAGACACCAGAATAAGGAAAAGTAAATTATTTTCCTTGGAGGTTATTTGTACTAACCCTGTTAAACCAGATTTTCTTCTTTTTTGTGTTAATGAATAGGCTCAATGCTTTGATATCAAATTACAAGCTTCATTTGTGCTTTCCCCAGCTGTTATTTCTTCTTTACGTACAGTATAATGCTACTTTTCCCCCCATCAAATCAAGGTCAATTTTGACAGAAAATTTTACTTTAAACAGCAAAGGTGGAATACAGAGATAAGGGGTGAGGGCACATCTCCTTGGAGCTAATATCATACACTTATTAACCAGTTCCCACAGCTTTAAGCCAAGCCAGTGTTTTTCAGTCTGCAGCTGTATGTTGCACTTTATCACCCCTGTAATTTGACATTCGCTAATGCATTTTCAGGATGTCTCATGCTGAGAATAAAGAAAATCATCTTATCCAAATACATTTTGGATTTGAAGCAAAATGCCATGTCCGTATTGTCTTTTTTTGGGGGGTTGTGAATGACATGCCCACCAGTACATAAAAAACACTATTGTTCCACCACAGAAGTACGGATATATTTTGGAAATGAACATACTGGTGCTGAATGTTTTTTTAATGAAGTGTGTGTAATGTCAATCATCTTTTTTTTTTTCCAAAGAAGATTAATACTTTTGGAGACCAGGCCATTTTGGGATTTGATGCCCTGTTGCAGTTTGAGTTTGGAAAGTTTTATAATTTTGAGCAGGATCCATCACTTCGATGTCTATATGGTCACGTTACTATATTAAATAAAGCGCAACCTTGCTGAATTACATTATAACCAAAGGGACTGTTGTTTAGGTGTCTTCCAGTGGTTTTGCTCATCTATCCATCTGGCTGATTATCTCCTCTTTTCTCCTGTGAACATGTGGTCTCTGCAGGCACTTGAGGTTCAGAAGCAGTGTCTTCCTTCTGTCTTGGGTAAATCTGCATTTGAAAATGTATTTGCTGTTCGTTTTTCACTTGCATGCAGTAGGTATAAGATTAGAAATGTTGAGAACTGACAGAACATTTAGATGTATAATTTAATGTTCAAAGATTTTTTTGCCACCCAAGGCTGCAAAATTTGAGATCATGTCAAACAGATTATTCAGTGTATTTGCATTCCTTCAAGCATATGCCTTGCGCAATTGTACAGTAGTTAAATTAAACAACTAGCGAGAAAGGACAGATATGTCTAAAGCAAAAGCTGTTTATGTAATGATGGGCAGTTTAAGGAATACTGTATGGCTTAGTACAAAAAGCAGGCAGCTAGCCTAATATACAATTCCAATTGAGTTTATACTGCACTATTTTGTAGTAGAATGATACTAGGCAGCCGCTCTGTTAGGTTATTGATTTGAAATTTAGTGATAGATACGGTATATAAAAGTATTGGAAATGTACAGTAAAAGGTATGTCAGCAGTTTTAACTTTTTTAGAAGCTGGACTTTGACTTCTTCTAAGAAGCAGATTAAATCAAAAGTCATGTTTAAAAC